CAATAAACAGATTCAACTCGCATTCCTCTGTTCTGGAAAAACAAACAAGCACTTTCTTCCAATCAGACTTAAGATCCCATTTTTGTGGCTCACTGATCTGGCAACACAGCAACATCAACTAGAATGAAAGCTTAGATAGAAAGCAGCAATAACCAGAAATGCGTTAGTTAACAAAGCCTAGCATATCCACAAAATGCACAATAAGGGGGTGCGGGTACATCAATCCTAAACCAGGACAAACCTAGAACCGAACCAACACAACTAAGAAACAATAAACACAAAGCAAATCAGCAAACCCCCAACTTGTGTTTAAAGGGAAACATAAAGTACCAAGTACACAAATATGAAATACCAGTAAACAATCTCAAAACTTCAAATTGGGCTTCTTAAACAAGTTAGAATAGGCAAGTCATCCACAACAATTAAAGCTTTTAAGTGCCCACAGAATCCTCACCCAATAAAGTCTCAAGGCCAATCAAAACGCGAAACCAAGCTCAAGAACAGCAACAGAGTAACTCAACCCAGAAAAAGAGCAAGACTTCCACCTTATAACAAACCAAACACGCTGCCCTCAAAAAAGAACAAGATAATATACGAATGAACTTTACCCAAATTTGGCACCATCAATTTTCGGGCATCGGTCGAACTGAGAGGGGAAATGAAGTTGTGGAGAAGACATTTGGGAAACAAAATCCCGAAAAAAAAATTGAGACTCAGAGATCAATATTCAAGAAGTCGACTTTGTTGAAAGAGAACCCTAATTAGAGGACACATTCATATAGATTTAACGAGGATTTGAGGAGAAGCTGGGTAAAACAAATTGGAACACCGTAGCTTCGAGGCTTGAGTCGAGCAGTGAGAAGGCTAAAAGATTTTGTCAGCAGGTGTTGAGGAAGGTCTGGCGAAGGAGCCAGGGTTAATCTGCTAACTGTATTATTCGTTAGCAGATACTCACAGGGCCGAATTTTGGGCCACGTCGGCCCATGTTTCATCCAACGGAGGAGAGAGGCGGCGGGGTGGTGGCTCACTTAAGTGAGCTAGATGGGCTACTGTGTATAAGCCGGGCCAACGTGCGGTGATGAAGGCGAGCCGAGCAAGTGGTGTGGTGGGCCCGGCTTCAGTTTGGCCGGGATTTTGGAGGGGAATGGAAAGAGAACGAAAATTGTGGGCCCCATGTGATATTTATGTATGTTTGTTTGTGTGAATATTTATTTGTTTTCAGTCGATATTTTTATGTGTTGTGTTGATATGACTTTGCATCATTGTTGAAATGAACTAGTATTCTTCCTTCGCAAACCAATATCCACCATTGAACTAATATTTACCAACCCAAAATAACCCATACACCCGAAACTAATTACACCAATTTAGATTTTAAGTTTTAGGTTTTAGGGTTCAGGTTTTCAATTTGTGAAGGATTGGAATATTGTTTCTTACATCAAATTAAACACACTAGGAAGTCCAAACATATAAGGCTTGCAACCTTAGTTAGGGCTGCCCGCCGAGGGCCCATGGGCCGAAGGCTCATTAAATAATGATAGTTTTATGGTTTACGGTTTGTGTTACGGTTTAGGGTTTTAGTTACGGTTTAGGGTTAAGGGTTTTGGGTCTAGGTTAGATTTTAATTGATATTAGTTCATGTTTTCTAATAGCGAACTTTTGGGAACTATTAAGATGTTTTCCACCATTTATTTAAACAAGTAGCACTTTTGGTAACTATTTTGATTAGTGTACAACTGTAATATATTAGTTAGTGTTTGGTGGATATTAGTCAGTATATGGTGGATATTATTTTGTGTGTGGTGGATGTTAGTATGTGTGCTATGGATATTGGTTTGTTGTATTTAAAATTTTATTTAGGATACTCTAGATATTGGTCTGAGATGTTTGGATATTGTTTTGTAGGGTTTGTGTTAAGGTTTAGGGTTTAGGGTTTAATGGTTTAGTTTTGAGAGTTTAGTTTTGGTTTGAATTTATATTAGTTCATGTTTTTGTATATTTGACTAGGACGTTTGGATATTCTAATGAGGCACTTTTGGTAATGGCCTATTAAATAATAATAGTTTTAGTTTTTATGGTTTAGAGTTTGTGTTGGGAAGAGGTTTAAGGGTTTAGGGTCTAGCTTTGGTTTGAAGTGAGATTAGTTCATGTTTTCGGAAATTTTCTTGGACGTTTGTATATTCTAATGGGGCGCTTTTGGTAATTATTAAGATGTTGTCCAACATTTATTTAAGCATCTAGCATTTTTGGTAACTATTTGGATTAGTGTACAACTGTAAGATATTAGTCAGTGTGTAGTGGATATTAGTCAGTATATGTTGGATATTGTTTTGTGTGTGGTGGATGTTAGTCTGTGTGTTGTGGATATTATTCTGTTAAATTTACAATACTATTTAGGTTACACTTTATATTGGTCGGAGATGTTTGGATATTATTCTATAGAGTTTGTGTTAAGGTTTAAGGTTTAGGGTTTAATGGTTTAGTTTTGAGAGTTTATTGATTATGGTTTTAGGGTTTAGTTTTGTTTGTTTAGGTTCAGGGTTTTAGGGTTTAGGGATCGGGTTGTGGGTATAACTATTATATATTAATTAGTGTGTTGTGGATATTTGTCATTCTTAGTTGTAATATCATTTATTGATCACCGGATTGTTCTCTGAAAGATTTGGATTTGTTTCTGGTATGTTTGGATATTTATTTGAACCTGAAGAATATTCTTTTAGTTCATGTGTTGGATATTTGTGTGGAATGTTGGGATACTAGTCTTGGTGGTGTGGATATTATTAGGGTGAACAACTATTAGTTGGGTGGCCCGAATCTGTTTTGGGGATTTTGGGGAAATTGGGGAAGGAAACCCCAATTTGTATCAGAAATAGAAGTGATGGGGCAATTAATGCCACAACAACTTTTTCTCTCTCAACTCTCTCAACCCCACCTTCTCTCTTCTTTTCTCTCAATTTTCTCTTCCTTTCTCCGACGAAAAAGTCACCGGCGGCGGCCTTCAAATCACGTCTTCATCCTCCGCCGTCCAGGGAAACGTCCCTGATGATGATTGATGATGAGGTCGAGTCGTCTCGTCCATCAACGAGCTCGTCCCATGAAGAAGAAAAATTTGTTGATGGTGTATTAGAAGGTTTGAGTCAAATAGATGGTGGTTGTGTGCTTGGCTTCGATGCAACAGTAGAAGAAGAAGAAGAAGAAGAAGAAGAAGAAGAAGAAGAAGAAGAAGAAGAAGAAGAAGGTGATTGTGGATTGACATATTTATAAGTTTGTGTTGTTGAGTTTTGGTTGGTAGCATTGAATGAAATTTAATGTCTTTGGTGTGAGTTTAATGTTTTTTGGTCATGGTGGGATTCTACTATGAGCTAATGGGATATTATTTACCTACTGTTTGTTGGAAGTAGTGTGTAGCCTATGTTTATTTTGTGTGGATATCAGTCTGGGCGTTATTTATATTGACTTAATTATTGTGGATACTAGTACGTCAGAATATAGTGTGGATACATCATCGGAGACATTTGATACTACTTGTAGATTCATTGATATGAGTTAGCCTACTGTTTATGGATTTTTGTTAGACGTAGTCTGGGGATTATTCTGGGCACATTGGATACTAACTGGAAATGGAAATATCTCGCAGCTCACAACACTTCAGACCTAGAAGATGATGAAGCGCGAAATCACATATTTTTTCGCACTAAGGACGAGTGTGTTCGTTTCTACGAACGCTATGCTCACAAAAAAGGGTTTGGTGTTTGAGTAGGTTCGCAACATTTGAGAAAAAGGAAGAATTCTGAAGGAGAGGTGGTGAAAATTTATGCCTACCTTTATTATCTTTGTAATAGAGAAGGCTCCACAGACGAAGTCAATGTTGAGAAACAGATACAGGGAGAGGATTCGGTTGTAGAGAGAAGTTGCCCTAAAAGAAAGAGGTCTCGAATTAGGGCTGGATGGCCCGCCCTTGTTCGTTTCCGATGGGATGAGAATACAGATGGATTTGTGGTGCACAAATTCATTGGAGCTCACAATCATGATCTGCACTCCACCAAGCATGCTTACCTATTGAAGTCAAACAAGTCTGTGAGCGTTCCTCAAGGACTTGTTGCTGAAGCAAATTGCAACGCCGGGATGAGTCTTAGGTCCTCGTAACAGCTATTGGCTGAGTGTGCCGGAGGGTATGAGAACTTGACTTTTACCAGATCTGATCATAAGAACCATTTGAACAAGAACAGACAAAAGACTATGCCTCGTGGCGAAGCGACTTTCTTGGTTGACTATTTTCAAGACCAAAAGGAGAAGTATCCCGACTTCTTTCATGCCGTAGAGGTAGATTGTGAGGAGAAAGTTGCCAATAATTTTTGGGTAGACAGTAGGATGCGTGAAGATTATGCACTTTTCGGAGACTCTGTCTCATTCGACACCACCTTCCTTACCAATAAACACTTCCGGCCATTGGGTATGTTGACCACTTATTTTCCTTATTTATTTGGACACGCAAGCGGTTATGCATTGTTTTTAATACTAAGTCTTTTGCAGGGATGTTTGTAGGTTTCAATCATCACCGACAAACTTGTGTGTTTGGCGCTTGTTTGTTATATGACGAGACAACTCCTTCTTTTGAATGGTTGTTTGAAGCATTTAGTCGGTGCATGAAGAGGAAACTCCCAGTGACCATCTTCATAGATTAGGACGCCGGTATGGCAGCTGCCCTTAGAAAGGAGTGGCCTAATATGTTTCACGCCCTCTGTACTTGGCACATCTTGATGAATGCGAAGAAAAAACTTAAGAAGAACAAGAAATTTTGGCATAAGTTCCAAAATCATCTAGCTTATCTTTTCTACTACGTCGATAGCAAAGCCGAGTTTGATGAGGCATGGGGCAACATGGTTTCTTATTGTTTTCCCGGTAGTGAAACTGTGGATGGCCACCAATGGATGCAATATCTGAAGAAATTTCGTCATCAATGGCGTTTCTTATATCTGAGAGATCAATTCACAGCGGGGATGTTGACAACGCAAGACAGTGAGTCGTGCAATGCACAAGTGCGACTATTCTTGAAACCGAAACATAATCTCGACAAGTTTTTCATCCACTTTATCTGGTACTGCATCAGAATACTTGTTTAGTTTTTTTGGATATTACTTAGAACCTTGGTGATATTTATAGACACTTATTCTGGTATTGTTAGTGATGGTGTGATATATGTTTGTGTTGTTTGGATATTTGCTCTTTTTGTATATGGATATCAGTCCGGGTAATCAAAATTTTGGTTTTCTTCATACATTTTCTAGATATTACTTAGCACCTTAGAGATATTAATAGACTCTTATTCTGGTATTGGTATGTGATGGTGTGATATATGTTTGTATTGTTTAGATATTTTCTCTGTTTGTATATGGATATCAGTCTGGGAAATCAAAATTTTGATTTTCTTGATACATTTTACTAGATATTACTTAGCACCTTAGTGATATTTATAGACTATTATTCCGGTATTGTTATGTGATGGTGTGATATTTGTTTGTGTTGTTTGGATATTTGCTCTTTTTGTATATGGATATCAGTCTGGGTAATCAAAATTTAGGTTTTTTTCATACATGCAGTTTGTTGGCTGAAAAAAGGCGCAAAGAGACTGAGTCTGACTACATGGGGAAACAATCATCCCCTTACATAGTGTTGGAGAAAAGATCAATCCTCCAACATGCTGCCAAGATCTTCACGAAAAACATTTTCAACCGGATTCAAGAGCAGTATCTAGAAATTGAAGACCATCTAATTGAGCTTGTCCCAGATAATAGGGATGATGGCTTCATTAGCTACCTTACATATAAGATAGAGGATGGTGAGCTTATCGATGAACGTGTCACTCTTGTTGATACTTCTACGGCCACATTGGTATGCGAGTGTAGGATGTCTAGAACATTCGGGGTCTTCTAGCTGCTTACTACTTTGACTTATTCTTTCTTTGCCAAACTCCGGACTCCAGCGGAATTACAATACTTACGTGAGTATGAATTGAAGGAGCTGCTATAGTGTAAGCCGCTACAGAAAGAATGTGATCAAATTCAGGATAAAGCGCAGGGGAAGAAATCATCCACTTACTGCCTTTTATACTATGTTATACCTTACTATAAATTCACAAACATTAGCTTGAAGGGGGTTTGAATGCGGTTAAAACCTTTTAAGGGGTTACATTCACAACCAAGGGCAATATGGATATGACAAAAAAATATTAATGACTTTTTTTATTAATTACATATTTGAAATTAAAAAACTCATATTAAATAAATGTTTTTTAAATTTAAATCCTACAATAAATACATTTATATCTCTCTCTTCCTTCTCCAACAATCACTCCGCTCCGACCGGCGGACCTTTTCTCCAGTGAAATCCTTCCAACAGACTCCCTCCGACAACCTGCAAAAATGTACCAGTTGTTAAAAATGTATCAATCCATTAGTCTAGTGGTATTGATTTTTTAGTCTGGTAGCTGGTAGCCAACCATTATCATCTGGTAGCTGGTAGCGTACCACTACCGGCTACAAGATTGTAGTGGTAGCGTACTACTCGACGAAATCACTACCACTACCACTCAACTATACAAATAACAAACCAGATGTGGAAATCGAAAAAAATCACAAATCTTAAAAAAAAAATAACAGGGTATGAAGAAAGGGGGAGGCAGGGGAGAGGTGGTGACCTCGCGGCGGCATCAGTATCATGAAGACGGCGGAGGGAGGAAGCGTAGGAGGCAAGGGTGGCATCAACAACAATGACCTCACGCCGGCAGCGGTGAGAGGGTGGTGTTGGCAAGCGACGGGAGTGGCGGGAAAATGAGGCATCATCAGAGCACGAAACACAGGAGAGATGAGGTAGGCGGCGGCAGGACGACAATAGCAACTTGTGAGAAAGATGTCATAGGTTGGATTCGTAGCAAGGAGATCGTCGACAGGAGAGAGGAGGTTGCATCGGTGGGATGGTGGTGGCCTTTGTGCATTTAGGCAAGGGGGTATGGAGAAAGGTAGAGAGGAAAAGAGGTGGTTGCCGGCAGAAAGGAAGAAGAAGAGATGGAGAGGAAGAATAGAGGAGGGGAGAGTTAATATAGGGGTTTGGGTAACCTGATATTTTCACATGTTTTGCCCACTATTCTTGCACCGTTTGAGGATCGATTCTCGTGTTTTAAGCTAATTTCACGTTAGGTTGTGCTTTTATGTGGTATTTCATGACCTGGAGCGAAAATGGAAGCTTGAAAGCGAGTTTCGGGTCAAAACCGGAGGGATGACAAAAAGTGGTGCTCGAAGGCGAAATACTCGGTCAGGCCACCCAAATACCCGACCGGGTAAATGCAGGCGAGATCGAGTAAGCGACCCAGGGAAAACCAGAAGGCCCCCCTTGGTCGTGAACCATAAATACCCGACCGGGTATATTTACCTGAGGTCGGGTATTTTCCCCTTTGCGTGAGAAGCTGCTGCGCACCATTTCAGTCGGTCTGATCCTAAATTATTCGACATTGTATTTGGACCGTGTTTTCGCCAGCTCGCACTGTTACAAGTAGAACGCGGGTTTTGGTCTCTCATTCAAGTTTTGGGAGCAGAAAATAGAGGTTTAGTGAGAGAAACATCGAACAAAGATCCTTGAGTGCCCTAGATCAAGTTTCCCATAATTGGAGCTCGATACAAGCCTCGACGAGTGACGATTGACGATCCGGAGCAAATTTCTTCCGCCTATACGATGATTTATACATCAAACATGGCTTTACTATCTCTTTCTCTCTATGGAGTAATCTCCTCTACCACTTGGGTATGAAGAACCCTAGTTTTGCATGTTAGGAGCAGTTGTATGAATGCTTTTCAATACATTGATGATTTTATATCCAATTGAAGTTTTATTCAGAAATCTATGAGTCTTGATCACACTTGTATGTTTCCAGGATTGACCTAGAACGTTAGAATCAGAATAGGTCAATAGAGCATCTTAATTTGGAAGTGGTGAATCGATAGTGCAAGATTCAATCGATTCATTGCTCTATAATGGGATTCATTCCAGTAGAGGAGATCTTCTTTTTTTTCGCCTCGGTACTTTATCTCGGTGAAGGTTAGTCATCTGCCGGGTAATGTGTCTGAGGGGTTTGGTCAGTTAAAGAGATTCCAAACTAGGTCTGAATCTTCCGCAGTATAAATTTGAATTGAATTGGACTGGGTGAATTAGAACTCGACTTAACTGCAGGCTAGGGAGAATCATTTACTGCTATCTGTTTTATTTTCTTTGCACACTTCACTCAGCTTTTCCCTCTAGATAATAGATAATCGCGGAGTAGGCAGTACATCTAGGCACCTGGTTAACTTTTATTACTTGTCCCACTATACTGCCTTTCCATTCTATGATTACACTTGGTCGTAGTTTGATGTTGTGTTTTAGAGAGTCAAGTTTTTGGCGCCATTGTTGAGGAACTTATAGGTTATTGTAACGTGAAGATCTGTTACTTTAGCATTTACTTTTCAGCATTTGTTTTCCTTCCCCTGTTTGCCTTCACGGATTGTGTCTACAGTCTGTATGCAGGTAGTGCATGACAAGAGATCTACATCTGTTAGACCCAGAAAGAACAAACTTTCACCAGCTCAGAGCGCTTAAACCGAGACTTGCTACGGAGGAGGAGTTGGATAAAGTTGGTTGTCCCGGAGGAGCATACCGTGGGATACTATTGGACCGCCAGGGCAGCAGACATGAGGTCCATCATCCAACACGCTCAAGTTTCTACTAATAACTTTGAGATGAGCACCTTTGTTATCACCATGTTGAGAGGTTCAGTGGTGTTCCATGGGAAAATAGGCGAGTGTCCTCGCGCACACCTGTGACGATTCCACGAGTTGATTGATGGGATCAAGATAAGTGGGGTCCCTCAAGACGCCATCCAGTTGCGATACTTCCTATTTACTCTGGAGGGACATGGAAAGCTGTGGCTGGAACACTGGCCTCCCGGGTCAATCACCACATTCACAATTTTGCCAACAAGTTCCTGACCCACTACCATCCCCCTTCTAAAATAGCAGACCTGTTGAAGGAGATCACCCATTTTGCCTAGGAGGAGGACGAGACTATCCGGAACGCTTGTGAGAGATACACAAGCCTCTTCCTGAAGTGTGCCAACCATGGTTTCAATGATGCCTTCAAAGTAGGTACCATCTATCGGTCTTTGTTTCCTGAAGATAAGCAAATGATCGACTCGGTTTGTGCCAGAGGAACACACATGCTATTCATGGATAAGGACTCAAGCAATTCATGGATAAGGCCTCAAGTAAATTCTTGGTGTTTAAAGCTGGCCAGAGGAACACACAGGCTATTCTGCAGGATATCTAGACCCAGCTTGGAAGTGTAGCTAAAGCTTTGGAAGAGAGGTCTCTTAGTACTCTTCCTGGTCATACCCTCCCCAATCTTGCAGATCCAGATGCTCACTTGAGCACCATCACTACCTTGAGCGGGCAGGTGACTGATGACATACCCGTCCATGCCTGGCAGGAGGAGAAGAGAATTGCTTCAGCACTTCTAGCAGAGGAGGAAGAAATGGAAAAGAAGAGTGAGGTGTCTACTCCTAAGCCACAACCAGTGGTGAAAGAGTACAACCACCAGCTTTCTTTCCCTACTCGGTTTCACATAGACTGACTGAAGACTGAGTTTGCCAAACTCATGGCAATGCTTAACCATGTGAACATTAGTATGCCTTTCATTGCGGCGTTGTCAAAGATGCCCAAGTAAGCTAAGTTCATGAAGGATCTCCTCACCAACAAGATGAATCTTGAGGACCTGTCGACCATGATGCTCAACCAGGAGTGTTCTGCCATCTTGTAGAACAAGCTACCAAAGAAATGAAAATACCCACAAAGGTTTACTATCCCTTGCATAACAGGTAGCTTGCATCTATGAAAGTCCCTTATGGATTTAGGCACTAGCATTAGTCTCATTGCATATAAATTGTTTAAAAAGCTAGGCCTAGGTGAGCCCACTAACACTAGGATGATCATACAGTAAGCGGATAGATCTATTGTACATCCTAAGGGTATTGCAGAGGACTTGATAGTCGCAATAGGGTCATTCTTATATCCTGTTGATTTTGTTATTTTTGTTATTAATGAGGACGTGGATGTGGCGTTAATTATGGATAGACATTTTCTCGCCACCGCCAAGGCGCTTATTGATGTTAATGATGGTAACTGATTTTGAGCGTTGGGGGCCAACAAATCACCTTCTCTGTTTCTAATAACATGAAACACCACAAGCTCCATGATGATTTAGATTACTACGATGTGATTGCCGAATTTGAGACCGCACTCTTCATCACGAGCATTGGACAAGAGTTGCAACTGGAGGAGCTGCTCGCTGAGCTAGTGGGCACCACGATCAAGGAGAAAGAGTAGCCATTCAAGCCGATCTCTATCTCGCCCTGGATTGCCACATCCTTGTAGGAGCCACCAGAGCTGGAGGTTAAGCCCCTCCCCTCTCACATCGAGTATGCATTTCTACGGGAGGGAATAAGTGTCGGAAACGTCCCTCCGGGGTTAGGTCGCGTTCGCTTTTGGGAAGACGGAGAGTCGCCGGCGACGAGGGTATTTTCCGCCGACGGTGATGAAGACTATGACGAGATGGGATTTTAAAGGTGGGTTTCTGTTTTTGCATGTCCTATTTGGCGTTTATTAGCTGGTTTCGAGTTCTAATATATTTTTTGTTTCGATCGAGTGGAGGAGAAGAAGGAAATCTTTGGCGGCTAAGATCTCCGCCGGCAAATCTCCGCCAGCGATGGTTTGACAACGGTAGTGGCGGGTGAGGTTTGGTTTAGTTAAATTTTTTATTCTCTTGACTAGTATCGCTTTATCGATTCTGGCCTCTACCTTTGTTCGCGCAGGTTTTTTGAATTTGACAGATCTGGGTAAGGTTTCTAAGCT